TGTAAACCTAAAACCTATTAGGATTCAAGACTGATTACAGTCTTGATCTTCTACTATATTTAAAAGGCTAATTGGTCTAAAATCTTTAATATGTACAGTCCCTTCAATCTTAGGAATGAGAGTGATAAAGACATTATTCAGGCTCTTTTGAAGAGAGGCATTAGAATGGAATGATTGAAAGGCATTTAGTATATCTTGCTTCACAAAATCCCAGCACTTAACATAAAACAAGTTGGAGAAACCATCAGGTCCAGGGGATTTCTCATTGTCTAAGCTGTTGATTTCCATATTAATCTCCTCAGAAAAAGGTTTTTCAAGAGAGTTCCTTTGATCTTCACTTGGCCTTTTAAAAGGAAGGCTTATGGGGAAAGGTCTGCATTTCCAGTTCTCCTTATAAAGGTTTTTACAGAAAGAGGTAGCCATTACCTTGATTTCTGCATCCGAGACACCCACCTTGTCATCCCAAATAAGTTTGTTGATTGTGGACAGTCTGTTTTTTGCATTTTCTAGCTTAGAAAATAGTGAGTAATCCTATCTCCCACTGTCAGCCAATCTGATTTTGCTCTCTGTCTCCATTTTAATTCTTCTTTGACTGCCAATTTGTCAAAAATGGCCTTTGCTTGAATTCTTTTCAGTTTTAGCTCTTCAAAAATTGGACCAGCTTCCTCTACTCTTATCAATTTCAGCAATAAGACCAAGACAAGCCTTCTTCTCTGTTTCTGCATTCAGATTATTATCCATTTTCCAAGTTTTCAACTTTTCTTTAACTGCCCTCAGCTTTTGAGCTAAAACAAAGGAGTTGGACCCTTCAATCTGCACTTCACACCAAAACGATTCCAAGAATGACAGGAAATTAGTCTCTTCAAACCATGCATTCTCAAACTTGAATGGAGCTTTGAATCTGTTCCTACTTCCACAAATCAGCTGGATTGGAGTGTGGTCAGAGACAGGTCTCGGCAGAATTATTTGCTTGAATTCTGAAAAGAGATCATCCCAGTTTTCAGAGACCAGGAACCTATCAAACCTGACAAGGTTGCATTACCCTGATTGTAGGTCCAAGTAAAACTTCCTCCCACTAGAGGAAGGTCTATGAGCTCTAAGTTGTTAACAAAATCAGCAAAAAGACACATCCCCCTTGATCTCCTGCTCCTGGTATTTTTCTCTTCAACTAACAAAGTGATGTTGAAATCCCCACCAATAACCCACGGAAGAGAAGAAGAACCTCTCACTACTTCAAGTTCTTCCAAAGAAAAGGGTTCTGAGATTTGCTTCAGTAGGACCATACACATTGGTAACTTGAAAAGTGTTTCCAATAGCTAATTCCATAACCATAGAAATGGAAAAGGAACCCACCCTGCATGAAATTAGCCTACACACAGTAGGATCCCAAAGAAGGATCAAACCCCCAGCACTACCCCTTGCCGACTTCGCTCTCCATCTCACCTAACCCTCCCCCCAAATACTCCTCACAATTCCAGCGTCCAAAAATTCCAGCTTTGTCTCCTGAAGCATAAGGATTTGAGTTTTTTCTTTTTTGACAACCTCACACACAACTGATCTCCTTCTTCCCGATCCCAGCCCTCTAACATTCCAAGATAAAATCTTCAGATCCATAAACAAATTGATTAACAGATAGAAACCGAACCACTTCCCTTTCTACTTCTTACCGACTCTCACCCCCCCCCCTTTCATAACTTCCCGCCCTGTCATTTAAGCCCCAGTTCAATCTCATCATTTCCCTGTTCTTTTTCGAAGTAGTACCCTCCCTTTTTCGCTGCTAACTTTCCCCTTTCCATGAGAATTTTGTGCTCGATTCCTTCCAAAAATTTTGTTGTTTCTTCCTCCAGCCTGTCAAGTGACACTCCCAGAAATTTCCCCAACCCCAGTAATTTTGAAGAAACCCAAGAGGAGGAAACAGCCTTAGAAGCCTTATCTCCTTGTGTTGCCACAACTGCATCCATTGCCTTTGTAGCCTGTGGATGGGATGTTTTCCACTCCTTGCAGGTTATCTTTATGAATTGTGTTCAGTATAGATGTCAACTTCTCCCCTTCTTGCACAGCAACGTTGCTCATCATCTGAGAAGAAGAGCCAATCAGCATAATCGGCTGCACCTCCATTGGCTCCACTTCCACATGCAAAACAGATAGTTGGCTTGGATTTAATCTTAAATTCCCAGAGGATTGCCGCCACTGTTGACCAGGGGAAAGATCTAAAACAGCATTTTCCTCTGGGTTCTCCAGCAAGAAGGCACAATGGCTAGATCTTTGTTCAACTGGCAAAGAGAGAAGCCCAGATCTTCTCGGGAGTTGGCTAAGCCACCGAGGCCCAAGAAAAATCTGGTACAAATTATTACTATCATCATCATCTAAAATGCCACGTGCAAAGCATGCACACATTTGCAAGTATATGCAAAAAGAAGAAAAGAATTGTCTGATCTTTTGGAGGCTCATGGGGCTTATTGAAAGTCTTCTAGATACAGATAAACACAATTTTGAGAATTATTCACAGCTGTCATTCCAAGTTTCTATCTAAGGTATGAGAGATGTTACACTTGTAGTCATCTCTTTTTCTATTATTTCTTTCTGCTTTATCCTTAATAGCGGGTTGGTTACATCTACAAMCGAAATGGAAACCAAGCGTTTTGTGGTTCAAAAATGCCGAATCTCGTCTCAATCATCATTTGTCAGGAYTTTTCGGAGTAAGTTCCTTATTTAAGATTTGATGAGTTTTTTTTCTGCTGCTAAGTTCATTTTTGTAGGCATTGAGCAGAACACTGAAAATAAATAAACTCGGGAGGCCGAGGTGAGATATAAATTATTAAAGGCTATACACAGTCTGTAAATATCTCCAAAGCACAAGTTATTTGGATCCAGTAGAACATGTACCGAATTGATATGGAAGTGCAACATATAAATACTTGCTAGGAATGTATATAATTGTGGCGAAATAGAGGCCCGATTTTCTATGTTGATTGAAGGCCAACCTTGTGGCCAGCATAATAGGTCCATCAGGTTTGTTGGCAAGTTGAAGTTATGGGAGTATCACTCATCCTTGGAGCAACTGAAAATATTTAAGTTACAAAAGTTCAGGGTGCACCTGTGCAAGCTTGCTATTTGAGTATCCTGCTAAACTTGTATACTTTCTTTTCCCAGAAACAATATTCATGTCTTCAGTGTCAACAAAACCAACATAATGCATCTGCAGTCAGAAAAGTGAATTAACTACTCTAATCGCCTGAACAGTGTAGATAATACCAGTAACTTGAAGACATATTCACAGATTATCAACAAGAAATCAACTATTGCCATCAATGATAATTGAAGGTACTTGATTTTTCTGTTCAGTAGTTCCAACATAAATAGTGACAAAGTGGACACTATATTTCTCTCTCTTTCATATAAAAGGAAAACCAAATACTTCATAAATGACAAAAAGAGCTTAAAATGTTAACTCTAGAGTAACTTATGAGGGGACAACTTAAAATGTTAGTTTAAAAGATGATTACAATGGGTTTCTTTTTTCTGAGTAACTGCTATTAAATTACACTGTTTTAGTTAACAATGGAGTCTGATGGTGCCACTTAATGCCTTATAATTCCTTGTATCACTAGAAGGATGCAGAGAACAAGAAAAGGCAATGCATAAAGCATAATCTGACTCACTCTATGTGAGGCTAGCTGTCTACAAGGGATGTATGATACATTATAGTTGTATATCATTTTTCTTACACATATCAATAAAATCAATTTCCTTTGCTGATTAACAAAAGAAAAGAAAATCTGACGCATTATGCTTGCTATTGTCAGCATATAACTCAATATTAAAAACATACTGAAAATCATCCCAAGAGAAAATAAGTATTTCATCAATCTAAAAAATAAGTAATTTAACAGTGAATATGGCTTTAAATAGAATGGGTTGGCAAAACAGGATTCATGTAGCCAACCCCATATATAGTTGGGATAAGGCATAGATGATGATGATGATGATGAATCTAAAAATAGAAGAAAAGAGGAAGGGATAGCAGAAATTAGAAGAGGAAGAAGATGGTGAGAGAAGAAGGGAGAAGGAGAAGAGAGTTTGATCAGATCTATTTCCTTTCTCGTAATCACTTTTATTAATCTTATCTTAATGGACATAATTACAAAGATGCCCTTAATGGGGCAGCTAGCTCATAAACATAACATAAAAGCAAGAAAAACAGTTAACAGGCCCATCAACATAAACATAACAAATAAAAGAAGACAAGAAATAAAAAGACACTAGGGTGCATTCAGCCCAGTCTCTCTAGTCTCTACATCTATAATGGTCTCTTCCTAAATAATTGACTAGACCTGCAAATGGATCAAAGTGAATCAGATAGAGGTATATCCAAATATGATTCATTTATATTTGGATTCAAATCAGATCATATCCATCAGATAATCTAGCGGATTCAAATCAAATTCGGATTATAATCAAATATTAAGTAGTATAAATATATTAGAATAAAAATGACCAAAATATTATATACTATTAATAAAAGAAACTAAATATGACTATATCATATTTTATGAACAAAATGAATTGAAAATTACTTGTATGAAACTTGAATCTATGACAATTTATTGAAAATGCAACATTCAGGCCAACGTTACTCATAGATGTAATACGAATTTTAAGTATATATGGGCATATATATTTAAATTGAATCAAATCGGATAATGTCGGATCAGATAGGGGTGGATCCATATTTGATCCAATTATAAATGGATCAAATTCAAATCAGCCTTAATAGGATTGATTTCAAATTGCAGCCCTATAATTGATAATACAAATACGAAGTGTGGGCAATAAAAAGAAAACGTGGAAGAATCATGTGGAGAGCTAAAGAGAAGTTGTTCTTTGGTCAGTATGGGAAGAAAGAAATAATAGAATTTTTAAGAATACTAAAAGATCCAAGGAGGAAATTGTAGAAGGAATAACTATTAAAGTTATTCACTGGTTGAAAACAAGTGAGCTGTTTAAGGACTTCTCAGCTGATGACATTTACAGAAGATGGGATGAGGTCATAAAGCCTGTGGTACAAGAAATGTGGTCTCCGTCAGCTTTCCAAAGCACAAAGTTGAACTTTGATGGCAGTTCTATAGGTAATACAGGTCCATCAGGTATTGGGGGAGTATTTAGAGATGGGGAGGGCAGAATTATTGTCATGTTTTTGGGGCCAATAGGGGAAGGAGATTCGTCAAGAGGAGAGGTGATGGCTTTACATCAAGGTGTAAGGTATGCCAAACAATTGGGGCTGCATCAAATGAAGATTAAAGGGGACTCTAAGCTGTTAATGGGGTGGATGTAGTCAGGTTGCTTGGGAGCATGGAAATATAGACAGATGATAAGGGAACAATCAATATAACGAGGGAGATTAGTGTGTGCTTTAAGTGGACAAGAAGGTCAGCCAACAGACTAGTGGATACTTTAGCAAAACAAGGGACGGAAAGGGAGAACATGTTTTTGTTTTGGGCAGTGTTGTAATGAGTATGTAACTTATAATAGGAGTTGAAATTTTGTACTTTGACACAATTTGAAATATTTAATGAAGTTACTGTTTCCAATCAAAATAAATAAATAAAAAGAAAATTGAAATCCTACAAAACTTTTCTGTGGGCAAATATTATGTTTGAAAGGGGCACTTTCTCTTTGGCTAATTGAGAGGATTCCCTTTTAGAAAGATAATTTGGATTGACCACCCACCCTCCAGGGTCAAGCAATAAAGAAAACCTTATTCCCTATTTACAGTCACTTACGTAAAGAATAAATAACTGAGAATAGGAAATAAACCTATTGGACTCATAGCGATATGACCTTCTATAGATATCTTTGAAAATATTATTTGCATATAGTTTGAAAAATATAACAAAAGAAAAATCAAAGGAAACACTTGTTGAAGGCATTACCATCAACATTCTGCATTGGTTGAAAGCACAACAACTTTTCAAAGACTTCTCGTCAGATGATTTACTTACAAGTTGGAATTCTATAGCTGTTTCCTCTCTCATCTCCTCTGTAGTTCAAGAAATTTGGTCTCCACTGCCTCAGTCCAGGGTGAAATTAAACTTTGATGGAAGCTCTTTAGGTAATCCAGGCCCATCAGGAGTTGGGAATGTTATCAGAAATGAGGAAGGAAGAGCTTTGGCCCTTTACTCGGGCCTGATTGGGGTGGGAGACTCCTTAAGGGCAGAAGGCTTGGCTTTACTCCAAGGCCTGAGATTGGCAAAACAATGGGGAATGCAGCACTAAGAAGTGGAAGGAGACTCCAAACTGGTAATAGAGAATGCAATCTAAAATCCTGGGAGTGTGGCATCAGAGACAGCCTCTAAGAGAGATTGTAAACTTAGCAAGGGAATGGCTGGCGCTTTATCTAAGCAAGGAATAAATAGGGAGGCTTTGTTTTCGGCTTGTTTGTAAGGATTTTATTTTGGGCTTCTCCACCCATCCTATGGGTAGTGTCATTTGTAATCTTTATTTAAATTCATCAATGAATTTAAATATTAAGGTGAACATTTGTAATCTTTATTTTGGGTTTCTCTACCCATCCTATGGGTAGTGTCATTTGTAATCTTTATTTAGGTCCATGTAATTGACATATTAAGGTGAACATTTGTGTATTTCTATCCCACATCAAACCTCTTTTTGAGAGCTAATCTAACATTTTCAATGCATACTTAAAGTTGCTGAAATATATTGTATACATTAAAGCCTTTGGTTTCATTATAAAAGGCACTGTTTTTCGTCTCAGGCCATGTTGTGGTGTTTGTGGATTATCTTCCAATAATTGACTACAAAGGCAATTTATAAAGCAATTCTTTACGTAAAGAATATATAAATTGCCTTTGTAGTCAATTGCCTTTACAAAAGAACGTAAAGAATTGCTTTATAAATTGCCTTTGTAGTCAACTAATGGAAGATAATCCACAAACACCACAACATGGCCTGAGACAAAAAACAGTACCTTTTATAATGAAACCAAAGGCTTTAATGTATGTTCCTTCTACAATATATTTCAGCAACTTTAAGTATGCATTGAAAATGTTAGATTAGCTCTCAAAAAGAGGTTTGACGTGGGATAGAAAACACACAAATGTTCACCTTAATATGTCAATTACATGGACCTAACCTGAAAACAAGAGTATTACAAGTCCATTTGAAGCTTGAATCCAAAATTTGATGTTGGTGTCACTAGAAAACTCATAGGGATACTTATTTAATAAGCAAGATCACTGGATTCACACATGATTTAAGCAAGTTATAAGCAATTTTCAGACAGCAGATGGATTTGTAATGAAAAGAGAAGTTCTTAATAGCTAATTTGAGAAAAAGAACAAGGAATTCTACATGGATATGCAAAGACCAAGAGACATACAATGGAGTTGACATTGATAATGCGGCTGGGAGAACCTCTAATAAGAGATGGCAAAAGCAATATTGAAAGCAATGCTGGAGCCAGATGGTTCACTTGCATATGTTCTTCATATCCATCTTTTGAAAATCGCTGTGGCTCTGATCATGATAAAGATAGAACATATGAGTTTAAAGGCCAGATCATCTACAATTTACATGAGAATAATGAACAAACATAGAGGAAAAATATTACATTATTACCAACATTTAATAAATATGGTTAGAGCTCAACTGAACAATTTAAGCATATTTTTTACTACGAAAGTTAATTAATTTGTATAACCCATCTAGAAGATTCAAATTTCAACCAAGTCTGTCCATTTTTTTCATTTTTTACTTTTTCCTGACAGGTACTCGGTTCCTTAATTAGCAAAAGAAAATAGAAAAATACAAACCATGAAGAAAAGGAGACAAGACTGGAAAAAAGGTGACATAACCAGAATGAAGAAATCCAATGTCTGCACCCTCCTAATAAAGGTATACAAGACAGTTCCCACTCACCAGGGAGCCCAAGTGTCTATACATTCAACACAAATCTTTAAAAGCTACAGCAAGGCTAGGTGATAGAGGGAGAACCTTGTCACCTGGGTGATATTTTTTTATATAAAAACCCAGTTAGTTTTAGCCTGTTTTCCTATTTTTTCATGAATTCGCTTTTTTTCTAAAACTAGTGTATTGACTCGAAAACACTAAAAGTGATCTAACATGAAAGAGTAGAGTTAAAACAACATTGCATGGTCATAGACTATAAAGAAACAACAAGGAGATGGAACAGCATTTGGTTCATGCAAGAAAGGAGATAAGAATGTGAATACTATGTGTTAAATTAGAAAAATAAAATGAAAAAAAAAAAAAAAAACAAAACAAATGAAGGGACTTGGAATCAGCTAAAGAATTAGGTGATTAATACAAAACAGGGAGATAAACCACTTGCTATGTATTTCTCCATGCTGAAAACACTTAGGCAGGAGATAAATCACTTAGAGACTGTGGTTTGGGAGAGTACGAAGGATGCAACAACCTATCAGAAGTTGGTGGAAAAGAATAGGGTCTTTGAGTTCTTAGCTGAACTAAACCCTAAATTTGATATTGCCAGGCAACACATCCTTTCCAACGAAAGTGTGACTCTTTCTCGAGCCTATGACTTTGTTTCAAGAGAGGAGAGTAGGAGGAATGCCATGTTGAGACAATCTGGGATTGACCAGTCGGCTATGATTGGTACAGTCAAATCTAAGCCAAATGGAGACAGGGGGAGTAGTGAGATTAGGAGGGAGGATAAGAAGGACTTGGTGTGTGACTATTGCAAGAAGCCTAAGCATACCAAAGACACTAGTTGGAAGCTCTACCCACGTCTCATACCAGCTCAAGTCAAGAACAAGGGGGAAATGCAAGTGTGGCAATTACAGGAAACTCTTCAGGACCTCTTACCCAAGCTGGCTTGGAATCCATTGCAGTAGCAGTAGTTAGAACTGAATTGGAGAAGTATGGACAGCTTATGAGAAAGAAGGATTCAGCCGGTTCTAGTTCTTCGGACAAGCAGCAGAATGCAGGAGCCAGTCACACTACTTTCTTTGCCCATACAGGTAGTTCATATGCGGTTGCAAATTATGCACCCACCTTAGGTAAGGAGGGACCTCCTTAGATTATAAACTCAGGAGCATCTAAGCACATGACCAAAATATCTACCCTTTTCAGTTCTTACTAGTTGTGCTCTGGTAGAGACAAAGTCTCTACAACAGATGGTTCCCATATACCCATTGCTGGGAAAGGGACACTTGTCGAGTGTAGGAAGAGGGAAGGAAGAAGAAGAAGAAGAAGAAGAAGAGTTACAGGAGAGAACTTGGGTGTTACTATTCACACCCAGAATATCTATTATATGATAAATCTGAAATTACAGCCATGTCCCAATAAGGGCGCCCAAATACAAAAAAAAAGGAAAAGACAACAATACCCCTAAATCCAAATACACATTCTCAACAGGGACAATTAGAGTGACTGATGACATTACTTTATCCTTTGTCTTACATGTCCCTAGACTCCATACTAATCTTCTTTCTATGAGTAGTCTAACAAGAAAGTTGAACTGTTCAGTGACTTTCCTTCCTAGTAATTGTGTTTTGTAGGACCCGGAGTCAAGGAGGACAATTGGGGGTGGTCATGAGGTGAATGGAATCTACCTTCTAGATGAGATTCCAAGACATCAGAGCAACCATGCAATAGAAGTGGATCAGAGTTAGTGAGTCAGATTATGATCTAGCATAATCATTTGGGTCATCTTTCTTTCAACTCATTGAGATATTTGTTTCCAAAGTTGTTTGAGTTTGTTTAGTTATCTATTCTAGAGTCTAAAAGTTGTCAGTTGGGAAAGCATTATAGACATTCTTTTAAGCCAAATAATAAAAGTTCTTTTGCTTTTGATATTATTCACACTGATGTATTGGGACCTTATCATATTTCTTCCAAGGGTAGTTACCGTTATTTCCTTTTGTTTGTGGATAACTAGACATGGTATTCTTGGATATATTTGATGAGATCATGTGATGAGGTATCTCTTTACCCAAAAAAAATGGGATGAGGTATCTATTTTGGTGCGACAGTTCTACCAAATAGTTCTCACACAATTTGGAGTGAGGACTAAGGTTTTCAGATCAGATAAGGCTGGAGAATACTTTGAGAAGGATTTGGCCACATTTTTTGGAGGATGAAGTGATTCATCAGGGTAGTTGTGCATATACACCGCAGTAGAATAGGGTAGCAAAGAGGAAAAATAGACACATTGTGGAAGTGGCAAGAAGTCTTCTGGTGTGTGCTTCAGTACCTATTCATTTTTGGGGGGATGTAGTTCTCACGGCTGTGTATCTAATTAATCGTGTACCTTCACACATTTTGGGGTTTAAGGTGCCATTCAGTCTTCTTTTTTCCAAATGGGGAGATATTCCATATACCTTTGAGAGTTTTTGGGTGTGTTTGCTTTGTTCACATTCTTGGTTCTCATCACAGGAAGTTGGATCCTGAGGCCAACAAATGTGTTTTCCTTGGATATTCTCAAAACCAAAAGGGGTATTGTTGTTAAGATCCAATTTCAGGGAACAAGTTTGTCACTATGGATGTTACCTTATTTGAGTCTACATTCTATTTCTCTGGTGATTCTCCTAAGGGGGAGTGTTTTGGGGAGGAGAATTCATAGTCTATTCCTCTTCTTGTTTCATTTGTTCCTTTTCCTTAATCTGGTGCATTAGTTCCACCTGTTGTTCCACCATCAGTAGCTTCAGTCCCATTGCCTGACCCGCTACAGCCAGCCTCACAATTTTTTCAGCGCCAACGCAAGAAGAGGGTTGACTCTACACATGTTCCAGTAGAAGAACCTACACCTCTCCATCAATCCATCTGAGATTCCAAGTTCGGCTGATACAATTCCAAGTATTTCCCTTAAGCCTATGCCTATTATTTCCCTTGATTCTATTGATGATGTTTCTATACCTAACAATGATGTTGCAACTGATCCTATTGACCTTGATCTTCCCATTGCACTCTGTAAGGGAAAGAGAAAGTGTATAGCCCATTGAATTCCACACCATCTTTCCTATAGTGCTCTATCACCTTCCTATTGTGCCTTTCTTCCATGGGTTCTATGTCTATACCTAGGAATGTTAGTGAGGTTCTCTCCAAACCTGAGTTGATCTTCCTATAGACAAAGAGACAGTCGAATGTAGATGGGTGTTCACTATGAAGTATAGGGCTGATGGCAGTATAAAGAGGTACAAGGCAAGGTTGGTTGCAAAAGAGTAATACATAAACCTATGGTATTGATTACCTGGAGACCTTTGCACCAGTAGTTAAGATGAGTTCAGTTTGAATTCTCTTGTCTCTAGCAGCTACTTCTCCATTGCCCCTCTTCTAGCTTGATGTCAAAAAGGCATTCCTTAATGGTGATTTGCAAGAGGTATATATGGACATTCCAACTGGTTTTTATCAAAATGTTGGTGAGGGAAAAGTTTGTAGGATGAAGAAATCATTATATGGTTTGAAACAGTCACCTAGGGCATGGTTTGACTAGTTCAAAGTGGCACTTATCGAGTTTAGATACATACACACTCAGCCCGATCATATTGTCTTTGTGAAAAGGAGAGGAGCACTTGTGTCAGTACGGATTGTCTATGTGGATGATTTAGTTGTTATAGGGAATGATCTAAGGGAGATTGATGCACTCAAGAAGTCACTACATCAAGAGTTTGAGATCAAGGATCTGGGTGAACTAAAATATTTTCTAGGGATTGAAGTTGCAAGATCCAAGCATGGAATATTCATCTCTCAAGGGAATTATGTGTTGGACTTACTACAGGAAACTAGGAAGCTAGGAACTAAATCAGCTGATACTCCTATTGACCCGGACCATAGGGTTAATGCTTTGGATGGTGAGTTGGTTAAGGATGTGGGGAGATATCAGAGGATGGTAGGCCGGCTCTTATATTTATGTATGATGCTCCTAGACATTTCTTATACTATTAGTGTTGTGAGTTAGTATATGCATGCTCCTCAAGTTCAACATTGGGAAGCCATTGATAGGATACTTGCATACCTAAAGAAGCATCCTAGCAAAGGGGTTCTATTCTCAGACCATGGGAATTTAAAACTAGAGCCCTATACAGATGTAGATCGGGCAAGTTGTCTTGATGACAAGAGATCCACATAAGGGGTATACACCTTTGTGGAAAGAAATCTAGTTTCATGGAAGAGTAAAAAACAGTCAATGGTGGCTAGGTCAACTGCAGAGGTCGAACATAGATCTATGGTCCATGGTGTTTCAAAGCTACTTTGGGTTAGATCCTTGCTGAGTCAGATTTGGATAAGAGTTGAGGAGCCCAAGATGTTATATTGTGATAACTAAGCTGCAATCAATATTACCCACAGTCCAGTTCAACATGGCAGGACAAAGCACATTAAGGTTCATAGACACTTCATAAGAGAGAGGGTGACGACCAAAGAAGGTTGTCTGCCTTAAGTCTCCTCTTAAGTACAGTTAACTGGTGTTTTCACCAAAGGGGTTGCAAAGAACAAGCTTGAACATGACCTACACAAGTTGGGAATGTCTGACATTT